TTTCCTCCTACTCTGTATCAGTTTGGACCAGGTTCAGCTTAAACATTCTGGGCTCCAGTCTGTAGGAAGGGTATTCACAAAATAAAGGGTGTGAAGCCTTTCCCAGGGGTGGAGATTTTGCTACCTTGTCCTTAAGGATTCTTTGTGTCCACCGGGAACAGAAATTCCAAGAGAAATACACCAACCTGTCACATCCTATTTGACAATTAGGAAAGAAAACCCCAATTCTTTTCCCCTCCTCTCTTTTCTCTCCCTTTTTTCTTCTCCTCCAGATGTTGACCAAAACAATTGATCTGTTTGAAAATCATCTGCAAAGCAGCTGTTCAACACATGGAAGAACATTTTAAAATTCACCTGCCAGGAATATCAGTCAAAAACAACAAAATGAAGAACGAGCAGTTGAACACAGAGCTGCTGAATGCACAAAATCTGCTATTTTTTCTTCTCAAAAATAACACAAGAAGCACCAAAACAGCAGGTTAAATTAAAACTAAATTAGGAAAAAAAAGCTTTGTGTTTTAAAAGTGCCCCAGAGCACGACAAGAGCTTTGATCCTCCCAAGGTTTTCCTAAAAATTTGCATGACAAATTCTTCCACCCAGCTGTGACATTTAAGGATTTCTCCCCCATTATTGCTCTGTGAATCACGGAATCATTATAAAACCGGGAAGGGCTGGGGTTGAAGGGATGTTAAAGCTCCCAGGGAAATTCAGGTGGGAGAGCAGGAAAAAGCTTTTCCAGAAAGGTGATAAAGTTCTGGGGTGGCTGCCCGGGGAGGTGGTGGAGTCACCAGCCCTGGGTGTGTTTGGAAAGCCTGGATGTGGCACTGGGTGAGGTGAGCTGCTGGGGATGGGCTGGACTCGATTCTCCTGGAGCTCTCTCCCAACATCTCCCAGGGATTCTGTGAATTCTGTGACTCTGTGCAGGTCAGACAAAAACCATTATTGGTGCTCACCTCCTGTTTCTACCAGAGCTGTCGACCCTCAAGGGTTGCAAAATTTACAACTATGGCAAACAGATATTACCAAATACCCATATTCTAGAAAATCTTTAAATATTCACGTGTCTGTAGATACTTTTTCAAGCACAGTTTTGACTTCTGCACTCACAGGGGAAACAATCAATCATTACTTGCTGTCATAGTTTTGCATGAGAGACATTTTAAAAAGTGATACAAAGCTTCCAACCATTAAAAAACTGGACATGCTTCTGTGAAAAACACATGTTAAAGAGAAAAGAGATCTAGAAGTATTAATAAAATTTTCTTGATACCCTTTGAAAATTTTAAACCTACTTTACCTTTCTCCGAATCCTATCTCACAACAAAAAGTAAATACATTAATAATTAACCAACACCAAAAGCCACCACACTCTTGAATACATTAACCAAAAAAAATCTTAAAATTAAAAAAACCCCTTAAATTAATAAACCAAAACCACTACACTTGCCAAGGTTTTTTACAAGAGCTCCAGCACGAAGATCTTGGTGTGATTCTGGAATTCTGACCCACCACAAGAACAGATCCCGGTGCCACAGCCCCTGGCAAAGGGAGTTCTAAGGTTCCTTCCTCATCCCGTTTTTATTTCCCTCTCCTTTTTCATCTCCCGCTCCTCAGCCCCATGGATTGATCCTTGTGCTCGGTTCCACGCAGGCACCTGTTAAAATTATCCCGGATTTGTTCAGATTATCACACAAAATCAAAGAATTTGCCTCTCCCCCTCCCCTGGGAAGGTTTTCCTAAAGAGCATTCCAGCCTCGATCATTCCCTGGGAATTCAGCCGCGGGGGAAGAAGCATTTATCACCTGGCAGAAGAGATGTGGAAAAAAATCCTTAAAAGAGCTGAAAACCCTCATTCCTCTGCCTGAAAACAAAGTGGGAATTTCCACGGGAAAAAGCAGGTGAAATGTGCCGGGAAGCAAGGTCAGAGGCATCATTTAGAGGAGTCACATGAAAGGCATTTATAGCGGGAGCGGAGAAAACCTCCCGAGGCCATCAGGTGATGCAGCAGGAGTTTGTGGGGATGGAATTCCCTCCGCTCCAGCCGGGAATGGCACCTCGAGGGCTTTCAGGAGCCCACCCTAGGATTCTTCTCACAGCTGAAAAAGGGGCACAGAGTTGTCACTTCACAACCATTAAATCAAGACCTGAATCTGATTAAATCCAAGTTTTTCTTATGGCAGGGGTTAGAACTGGATGAGCTTTAAGGTCCCTTCCAACCCACTCTGTGATTCTTCACCCAGCTGAAGAAAGGGGCAGAGAGTTGTCACTTCACAACCATTAAATCAATCTGAATCTGATTAAATCCAAGTTTTTCTTGTGGCAGGGGTCAGAACTGGATGGGTTTAAGGTCCCTTGCAACCCACTCTGTGATTCTTCACCCAGCTGAAGAAAGGGGCAGAGAGTTGTCACTTCACAACCATTATATCAAGAAATTAAACTGCTTAAATTTAAATTTTTCTTGTGGCTGAGAGTCAGAAGTGGATGGGCTTTAAGGTCCCCTCCAACCCAACCCATGATTCCACCACTCTTCATAGAGTTGTCACTTCAAAATCATCAAATCAAGACCTGAATCTGATTAAATTTAAGTTTTCTTGGGTTTTCACCCGCAACATTTCACCTCAGGAATGAGGAATTCCAGCATTTCCAGCAAGAACCCAAAGGGAACAACAATCCCAGGGATTTTCCCCAAGATTTGATCTCTGCAGGTGGCAGAGAAAAGCACAGCACCATCTATAATGTCTGCATATAAATATATATAAAAATATCACCTACTCCATCTATTGCTTCCTGGTTTACACCCTACCAAGGTGAAATACAAATCAGAACAGCTAAAGGCAGACAGATCAATAAAATGCTGGACTGACAGAAAAGAAGATTTAAAATGAGAGTGAAAAGAGGAAAAGAGTCGCTGCAATTTTCTGGGAACTCTTTTTGTCTCAGAACTGAAAAATCACAATATTGGTGTTAGAATTCCAAGGAAATGAAAAATGAAAAACTAAAAAAAACCAAGAAAAATATATTTATATAAACCAGCCAAGAAAAAACAGTGAGATTTTGTTTTTACCAAACACTCAGAAGAATCACAGTTCCACTACAGATTTCATCTATTTCTATTAAACTTTTACCTGTATTTCAGCAAATTTCTGTTGGATCTGAGTAAAAAAAATTCTCTTATTTTTGTTCCAAACCTCCTTTCACCAGATGCTTCAGCTCCACGTGCCCAATTTTACAGCCACGGGCCTGGGGACAATTTGATGTCTCCAAAATTTTGGTTTTATTCCAATAAGAGCAGGATATTGAATATTATTTTATTCCAGGAGAGGACCTGGATGAATGAAAGGTTTGAGCAAAGCAGGAGAAGGAACAGTTTGTACCCCCAGATCCCCTCCAGCAGCACATCCCAGCCAGAGGGGATCCAGCTGGGAATTCTGTGGAATTCCAGGGAGCAGCCAGGGCACGATGCAGGTCTGAAGCTGTTTCAGGTTCCCTTTGAAAAAAAGGTGAAATCCCTTTTTTGGTTTAACCCCAAAAAAAAAGAATGGAAAGGGGTGGGATGAAGAATTTAAGCAAATTTAAGGGAAAAAAAAAAAGGATGCCCTGAGGGTGTCTAAAAATAGAGATGGGATTAGGATATCCAGCAGAAAGGACTCCAAACACTGGGGATGGCAGTCGGGATCTCAGAGGGAAAATGCCCTCCTGACCCTAAAAAAGGGATTTCAGGGGGATGAAGGAACAGAGATCCAGACCTGGCCCCACAGGGATGTGCTCCTTCCAAGGAAAATCTGGAATTTCAGGGAAGCCACAGCTCTGGAGACAACCCCCTCACCCCAGGCCTTGCAAAGGGAGAGGAAATTTTACAGCAACCCCAAAAGAGGGTGGAAGTCCATCAGCAGGGGAGGTGATGAAACTTTTCACCCCAAAATTTCATGAGGTGAGAGGCTCCCTTAGGACAGGGACACTTTTTTCCCTACAACCCCTAAAAGGTTCACAGGGGACAACTCATTCTCGTGAGTTTTCCAATGGGAATGATGCCAAAAATCAGGGGAAATGTGCATTTCCCTGCATGCACAGCACGGTACACACAACCCACTGCTCCAGGGAGCACCTGTGTCCACCTGAGGAGCTGGAGACACACGCAGGGACTCGCCAGGATTGACAGCTCCACACACTCCTGGGGAGAGGGGCAGACCCAAAACCCCCCCTGACACACCCCACACCCAGCTATGGGCACACCTGGCCCTGCCCCCTGTGCCAACGTCACCAGTGGCACCTGGGACATTTTTATCTTCTGCACATTCCCCAGATAACCCTGGGAACGTGAACCCGATGTGAACCCGCACACACCCTGGAGGTGCAGAAATGAGGTGTAAGGGCACCCAGAGGTGCAGAAATGAGGTGTAAGGGCACCCAGAGGCACCTGGGGCTGCAGAAATGGGGCATAAGGGCACCCAGAGGCACCTGGGGGTGCAGAAATGGGGTGTAAATGCACTCAGTGTCACCTGGGGGTGCAGGTGTGGGGTGTAAATGCACTCAGTGTCACCTGGGGGTGCAGAAATGGGGTATGAGGGCACCCAGAGGTGCAGAAATGGGGTGTAAGGGCACCCAGAGACACCTGGGGGTGCAGAAATAGGGTGCAAACCCAGCCAGTGTCACCTGGGGATGCAGAAATGGGGTGTGAGGGCACCCGGGGGTGCAGAAATGGGGTGTAAATGCACTCAGTGTCACCTGGGGCTGCAGAAATGGGGTGTAAGGACACTCAGTGTCACCCCACACGTCCCCACTGCACAAACCCGGCACCGGGGAGGGACGAGACGCAAACACCCCGCCAGGCACGGCAACCACAGCCCCGGAGCCCCCCCGGCTCACCGACACCCCCGGAGCCCCGGGCACACCGGGACGCCCTCCGAAGCCCCGGGCACACCACAGCGGGCACCCCCGAGCCCCGTGCCGGCTGCTCGGCCCCGCCGGGAGGGCTCCGAGCCGCCGCCGCCCCCGTTACCTTCTTGACGGTGCGCGGCGCTTCGCTGACGGTACCGTCGGGGCTCACCAGCGCCTCGGCCGCGGCGCCGCCGCTCTCTCCGCCGTCACGGTGCCGGTGCTGGGGGTGGTGAGGATCGCTCCTCTTCATGGCCGAGGCTTGCGGCGCTTTGGCGGCGGCCGAGGACAGCCCGGGGCAGCCGCTGCCCGGAGGCCGCTCGGCGCAGGGGGCCGGGGCCGCCTCACGCTCACCGCCCGGTACGGGGCAGGCGGGCGCCGCCGCCGCTACGCCGTGTCCCGCTGCGTGAGCGCCCGCAGGCTCGCACGGCGGCCCCGCTGCCTTGTCCATGGGGCCGCCCAGCTCCTTGAGCTCCACGGCGGGCGCGGCCACCGCCACCTGCACCGACATCGCCGCCGATCCGCTCCGGCTCCGGTTCCCTCAGGGCTGCCGGCCCCGCCTCGCCCCGCCCCGCCGCCTCGCCGCCGCGCGGCATGCCGGGATGTGTAGTTTTTCCTGCCCTGCTCCGCCCCGTCGCGACTACAACTCCCGGCAGCCCCTGCGGCGCGGCCGCGCGGGGGTTGATGGGAGTTGTAGTCCGCGCGGGGCCGTCCGGCCCCGTGAACGGCTTTATTTGGTTATTTTTTAAAATTTATTTTATTTTTTTTTTTCACGCTTTGGTGGATTTTCAGTGTTTCGGCCGCTGGGCACAAAATCGCAGAGGCACTGAGGTTGTAAAACACCTTCAGGACCATCGAGACCAAGCTGTGCCTGACCCCCACCTGTCCCCAGCTCAGAGCCCTGAGTGCCACCTCCAGGAATTCCTGGGACACCTCCAGGGATGGGCACCCCAAACCTCCCTGGGCAGCCCTGCCAAGGCCTGACCCCCTTTCCATGGGGAAATTCCTGCTGCTGTCCCCCCTGAGGCTGCCCTGGCCGAGCCTGAGGCCGTTCCCTCTGCTCCTGTCCCTGTTCCCTGGAGCACAGCCCGACCCCCCGGCTGTCCCCTCCTGGCAGGGACTTGTGCAGAGCCACAAGGTCCCCCCTGAGCCTCCTTGGCTCCAGGCTCAGCCCCTTCCCAGCTCCCTCAGCCCCTCCTGGGCTCCAGCCCCTCCCCAGCTCCTTTGTCCCTTCTCTGGACTCAATCTGTCACAGGACTTGGTGTCCCCACAGTTCCATGGTCTGGCCAGGCAGCTCCCCACGCCTGGACCAAAATTACAGAATTTCGGAGCCATAGGGGTTGGAAAAACCCTCCCAGGCAATGAAACCCAACCACAGCAAGGCCACCACTGATCTGTGTTCCCAAGTGCCACCAGCAAGGACAGATGTGCCACCAAAGCCATCCCAATGGGAAAACTGAGCCAAAATTACAGAATTTCAGAGCCAAAGGGGTTGGAAAAGCGCTCCCAGACCATCAATCCCAACCAAGGCCAGGAAAACCCATGGGAATGAGGAATCCCAACATCCTGGCATGGGGAACGTGCCATCCAAAAACCTGGGACTTGCTGTCCTGCCAGGCCTGCTGGCCACAGAGGCACAAACCAGTGATAAACCACCACATTTGTGATTTACATTTAATGATTGAAGTTTCACCACCTTTTCTAAGTGCGGTTCTTTGGGAATGTGCCTCTCCTGGAGTGCTTTTATTATTGTTATTGATTGAGAGCAGCCCTGAGAGGAGAACTTGAAGCTGCTGGCGGGAGAGAACTTAATTAATTCTCAATTCTCAAGCGTCAATTCCCACCCTCGAGTGTCCAAAACAAAACAAAACCAAAAACCAAAAAACCAAAACCAAAACAAAACAAAAAACAAACAAAACAAAAAACAAAAAAAACCCCACCAACCAACCAACCAACCAAACAAACAAACAAAAAAAACCCCACCAGGTTGTTTTGACAAAGGCAAAATCTTGCCCCTCATCCTCCTGTGCTGAGGAGAAGAGTTTGTGCTGCCCTGGAGATGGAGAAATCCTCCAGAATTCATAAATTCCAGGGGCTACAGATCCCACAAAAACCCCACCAGGGTGTTTGGGCCAAGGCAAAATCCTGACGCTCATCCTCATCTGCTGAGGAGAGGAGCTTCTGCTGCCCTGAAGATGGAGAAATCCTTTCAAATTTATCATTTCCTGGGAATGATTTTTTTGGGGGGGAGGAAGGAGTCTCTTTTGTGAGGGAAAAGTTCCTCTTGCGAGGAAAGAGTCACTTTTGGTCAGGAAAAGTTCCTTTTTCTGAGGAAAAGTTCCCTTTTTCTGAGGAAAAGTTCCCTTTTATGAGGAAAAAGTTGCTTTTTGTGAGGGAAAAAGTGGGTAAAAAGTGAGGGAAATGCTTTTTTTCTGGGAGGAAGGAGTCTCTTGTGAGGGAAAAGTTCCTCTCGTGAGGAAAGAGGTACTTTCAGTCAGGAAAAGTTTCCTTTTGCTGAGGAAAGGTTCATTTTTATGAGGAAAAGTTCCCTTTTTCTAAGGAAAGGTTCCCTTTTATGAGGAAAAAGTTGCTTTTTGTGAGGAAAAAGTCGCTAAAAAGTGAGGGGGAATGATTTTTTGGGGGGGGAGGAAGGAGTCTCTTTTGTGGGGGAAAAGTTCCTCTTGCGAGGAGTCACTTTTGGTCAGGAAAAGTTCCTTTTTCTGAGGAAAAGTTCCCTTTTTCTGAGGAAAGGTTCCCTTTTATGAGGAAAAAGTTGCTTTTTGTGAGGGAAAAAACCAGTAAAAAGTGAGGGAAATGCTTTTTTTCTGGGAGGAAGGAGTCTCTTGTGAGGAAAAAGTTCCTCTCGTGAGGAGTCACTTTTGGTCAGGAAAAGTTTGCTTTTTCTGAGGAAAAGTTCCCTTTTTCTGAGGAAAGGTTCCCTTTCTTGAGGAAAAAGTTGCTTTTTGTGAGGAAAAAGTCGCTAAAAAGTGAGAGGGAATGATTTTTTTTTTGGGAGGAAGGAGTCTCTTTTGTGAGGGAAAAGTTCCTCTCGCGAGGAGTCACTTTTGGTCAGGAAAAGTTCCTTTTTCTGAGGAAAAGTTCAGTTTTTCTGAGGAAAGGTTCATTTTTATGAGGAAAAAGTTGCTTTTTGTGAGGGAAAAAGTGGGTAAAAAGTGAGGGAAATGTTTTTTTCTGGGAGGAAGGAGTCTTTTTTTGTGCAGAGAGCTCACCATCCCACAATGTGAAGCTCAGACCCACACACTAAAGCAGCTCAGAATGTGAAAATATAAAAATTAAAACCCTGAGGCATCAGAGAGGTTATCCCAGGGATCCAGGCCGTGCCTGGTGATTTATCTGGAAAAACAATGGATATCAGGAGGGGAAGTTTGGGGAGGGAGGCTCCAACAATTGGGCTCTGTGAGGAGCAGCGAGCTCGGGGCTGCATCCCTCCCTCGCTCCCTGGCACCAGGCTGGGATGCTTTTGCCTGGAAGTTTGGGAAAAAACAGCCTTGGAAAAGCAAAATTCCAAATTCTCCTCGAGAGCCGTAGACCCACAGCATAGTTTGGTTTTTTCCCACAAACAGAATTAAGGTAGAGCAGGAGGAAAAACCCTGCATTTTCCAGGTTTGTTTTCTGGTCCAACTGAGATTTCATCCTTTTAATTCCACCAGATGGGTGGAAAATGCAAACATTTCTCCCCAGGGATCAGTGGTTCAGTGAAAACACAGGGAATCAGTGAATCCACAGGGAATATTACCCAAATTTCCTGAAATTTCCCTGGTTTTCCCCCATTTTTCACCTCTGGAGGTGATGGGAGATGTGTGACCCTCTGCACTTCACTCTCCTGCACCTCCCATGGGAATGCTGGAGCTTTTCCCTAAGGATATTTCAGGGAAATTTGCCGGATTTTGGCAAACTGGGGGTGTTTTCTTCCTTCAAAATTTTCTCCCCCTGCACCAAATCAAGGTGGGTTTTTTTGGGAGGGGATGTGACGTCGTCAGCACATCTCCTGCTGCTTCCAAAATGAAAATATTTTGGTGTTTTTGTTTCAAAATGGCAAATCTTGTAGGAATAGGTTTGTTAGAAGTGGCTTTTTCACTAAGAAAGCCACGAAATTAAAAAATATATAAAAAGAGAAAAAAAAATAGCCAAAAAAATTAAAAAAGGAGATAAAGAGAAATATTTTGTTTCATCCCAGACCATCCAGCTTTGACTCTGGAGCAAGATCAGCCCAAAAAAAATAACAAACACTGGAAAAATGTAATTTTCACTGACCAATTCCACTTAAATTTCAGGGTCTGGTTTGCAGGATAACCAACCCTGCAGTTGCAGGGCTCTCAAGCAAAATAAGAAAAGGATCTTTTCCAAAAGCAGCATTTTTCCCCCCAAAACAAAGCACCAGCGCTGTGGGAAACTTTGGATGCTTCAGTGGGACCCCACCCAGGAGCACCCCAAAATTTAGCTACCCAAATTTTAGGGGTTTGGGGGATATTTTAGCCCGTGGTGCCACCTGCAGGCCTCGGCTGTCCCCAGAACTGCCCATTTGCCCCCAAAACTGCCCATTTGTCCCCAAAACTGCCCATTTGTACCCAAAAGTGTCCCCAGAGCCCTTGAGGGCATTTCCAGCCCCTCAGAGCTCCCACCTGCAGGTCGAACAGGGGGTTCAAAGCACTTTAAAGCAGTTTTTAATGTGCTTTAAAGCAGTTTGAAACACTTTTTAAGGTGCTTTAAAGTGGTTTAAAACACTTTAAAGTTTTTAAACTAGGAGTTTTTAGGAGAAAGGACAAATTCCCCCCCACAAAATGTTTTCCCACATGGATCCCTCCCCAAAAGAGCCCAGAGCAGCCACTGGGATTGAAAATCTGTAAATTTAATACTGATACAGGAGGGTTTTTCCTTTACACAGCAAAAATTAATCCGTGGAGGTCACTGGGGTAGCAAAAAATAAAAGAAAACCCAAAAAATAAAACAAAATAAAAAAAAGCCAGGAGCCTACCAGGACTTAATAAAAATAGGGAAAATCCAAACACCAGCAGGGACTGGAGCCCTCCTGCCTCAGGGCTCCGCTGGGTTTGCTGTGACTTGATTTTTATTTTTTTTTTTAATCCTAAAAAAATAATTAAAAAAGCTTTGCTCTGGGGGTTGCTGACCCTGATTCACCTCGAGCACCCCAAGGTTTTTGGGGTGTTTTTTTTTTGCTCAGGAGCACCCACGCAGCCCAAGGTGCTTCCTGTTCCTGTCTCCCTGGTGCTGCCACCCCACTAATCCTGATTTGGGTCTGGCTCAGCTCCCTGGGGAGCTGGAAGGCACTTTGGGGTCTCGGAAGGGATTGGGGTGAACCCAAAATAGGGCTGCACACCAGGGATGCTGCTGCTGCTGCTGCTGCTGGGCCTGAGCGGGCTCACCCCGAGCAGAGGCATCACGATACAAACATCTTAAAAAAATCAGAAATAGTAAAAAATTTGCTATTGGCACAAGTGGGGGTGAGCTCTACGTACCTCTAGCCGTGGGTGGGGCAGAGCTGCCCCAAATCTACCCTGATCTAGGCTGTCCCCAAGCATCCCCCTGGTCCTT